GATACCATATGGTTTCACTCTTATGTGGATCCTGAGAAACTTAACAGGAACCCATGGGGGAGGGGAAGGAAAAAAAAAAAAAAAAGAGGTTAGAGTGGGAGAGAGCCAAAGCATAAGAGACTGTTGAGAACTGAGAGCAAACTGAGGGTTGATGGGGGGTGGGAGGGAGGAGGGGGTGGGTGATGGGTATTGAGGAGGGCACCTTTTGGGATGAGCACTGGGTGTTGTATGGAAACCAATTTGACAATAAATTTCATATATAAATAATAAATAAATAAATAAATAAATAAATAAATAATAAATAAAATAAAATACAAAATAGAAAAAACTTTCAAATAATGTTCAATTAGATGTCTTTGTTGATGATGATATTCTTGTTAAAATATAAATTTAAACAAGACTTTTTATGAATAGATTTTATGTATTTATTCTGTTTCCAGTTAATATTAATTTAATCAAACAAAATATATTTTAATTGGCAGTTATAATACATTTAGGAACATTGTTCTTCTCCTCACTCTTTCATATCATTAATATTAGAAGCTCTTATATATTTCTGTAGCTTAATGTTTAACGTGTTTTGCTATTTTCTTGTACAGATAAATAATCAAAATGATCATATACTGTTTTTATTAAGAAAGAAAATTGTTCAGAGTTCTAATCATCAATTTTTCCAGTACGATCATTCATTTTATTAGTTTTTATTAGTTTTTAATGATTATAAGAAGACTATCTTCAAATTTTAATTCCTTGCAGCCAGGGCATCTTATCCTTGGCACTGTTCACATTTTGGGCCAGATAATTCTTCATTGTGGGGGGCGGTCTTGTGCATTATAATATACTTGGCAGCATATATGACTCCTACTCAATAAATGTCAGTAACATTTCCCCCCTTGAAGTTGTGGCAGTGAAAAATGTAGACATTGCCAAAATCCCTTCTCTACCACTACTCATCAGTAATGCTTTTGTGAAAATAATTTCTGTATTTTATGTATTTGTCTTGATTTAAAATTACCAAAAATTTAGAATTTGAATAGATGAGAAATCTCATAAATTATTGGAAAGTTGTAATTTGTGATATTACATACTTTTTATTTATTATAGGTAATATTTGTGACCTTGGCCACCCTATCACCTTGTTTCCAATACTAGTGTTTGAGGATCATTGTGGAGATGAGTCATTCAAATTATAGTATGTTTGTAATTAAAACAACAATTGATGAACAGTGTATGGCTTTGAAACCTTGTTGAGTGAGACATGAACTATGACACCCTTAAAATATTATCTACTACTGTATAACAAAGTGTTTCAAAATTTAGTGGATTAATTTAATCACCATTTTATCTCTCATTATTTTGTACCTTGACTGGGGCCACCTGGACACTTAGTTATATGGCTATAATCATCTGGAGGATCAGCTAGCTGTGGTGTCCAAGAGGGTCTATTCACATGTCTGGCATCCTGACAACGATGGCTGGAAGGCTCTCCTCAGCCAGATCACTGATATAGCTAGACTTTCCATATAGTCTCAAGGCTTCTCCATATGACTTGTCTAGCAGATAATCAGAATTCTGTTTTAGAGTTAAGGAAAGGTGCTCAGAATCTCATACCTATTTTCTAAATTTCCTGCAACAAAGGTGTTTAGAGACTGTAGGAGAGACTACCTTGTGATTAATCTTAGGAATGATTTCATAAGCCAATCAAAATGAAGAAACCAAATTAAACTAATCTTAAGCATTAGAGCTCATTTTTGTCTGATCAGACTCTTAATGTCTTTACTTTTGACTAATGACTTCTGAAATTGTGTATTTTGGTAATACCAACTTCATTCTAGCGTCTTAGGTTATTGTAGCATTTATTAATAAAATAACTGTATGCCTTTGAATAGCGTGTGTTTGTATTCTTAAACTTTAAAAATTTAACAACTGGAAATAAAGATAGAGATAACCATTTCATGTGGCAATGATATTTTGTGGAACCATGGTGAAAATTCTTTATTATTTGTAAAATATAATCATTTAATGATTCTACACACTTTAAAGTGATAAAAATGCATTTCTATATATCTTTTATATATAATTCTGTTTAATTGTATATATAATTTTATTTTATATTAATTATATATAATTAATATAATCACAATAAGTAAAAATTTCAGTAGGTTTTTTATAGCTGTTCGTGTTTAAAGAAAATTAAAAGGTGACTTATTAGTATGTCTTGAGTTGCGTTTGACTTATAATAAAACTCATAATAGCCTGAATAAAATATATCTGAACTAGATAGCAAATAGAGCATTCAGAAGTATTAATAAGTGGTAAAACATTTCTTTCTATAAAACAGTTTATAAAACTCTCAAAGCTTAATTGTTTTGTTCTTCATGAATACTTTGTAGTAAGATACTACATTCTTAAAGAAAAACTGGGATGAGGAGCACCTGTGTGGCTCAGTGAATTAGGCATCTGACTCTTGATTTCAGCCAGGTCATGATCTCATGGTTCATGAGATTGAGCCCTGTGTTGGACACTGTGCTGACAGCGCAGAGCCTCCTTGGGATTCTCTCTTTCTTTCTCTCTCTGCCCCTCTCCTGCTTGTGCATGCTTGCATGTTGTGTGCGCGTACACTCTCTCTCAAAAATAAATAAACATTAAAAAAAGGAAAATAAAAACTGGGATGATTATAAAATATGCTTTAAGTTACATACTTTTGTGACTATATATTGAAGTTTTACATTTTAAGAGGATACTATGTAGGAAAAATAAACTACTAAATTTTATGCCCAGTGATCTTAAGAATGATAGGTTTTTGTCTTTTGCATTTTTTGAAGGCTTTATTTTTGCATCATACACTCCAGGGTAAAACTTATTTAGGCTTTATAATTTTAGAAATCAAAAGTTTTTGAGACATAATATCTTTTGGTGAAATGTCATGTTACATAATCGTTAGGCTTGCCAAAATATTAGCTTTCTTAAGAGCATACATAAAGAATTAAAAAATAAGAGAGATAAAATTAAGAAAAGGACAACAGATTTGATAATTTTGTGTTTTTAATTTTTTTTTTCAACATTTATTTATTTTTGGGACAGAGAGAGACAGAGCATGAACGGGGGAGGGGCAGAGAGAGAGGGAGACACAGAATCGGAAACAGGCTCCAGGCTCTGAGCCATCAGCCCAGAGCCTGATGCGGGGCTCGAACTCACGGAGCGCGAGATCGTGACCTGGCTGAAGTCGGACGCTTAACCGACTGCGCCACCCAGGCGCCCCAATTTTGTGTTTTTAAATAAAATATATACTCATGAGGAAAAGAATGAAATTCTAGAAAGTTTATATTTCCCATTTTGTAATTAGGTTTTATGTAATAACTGTCAACTAGATACCTAGAATTCTGCCAGATAGCTACAAGGCCTTATAGAATGTTTTATTTACATCATAAAAGCAGAGGTATAGAGGCATGAAATTGCAAGGCATGTTCAAGGAATGTTAGATACTCCAAACTGGCAAGGGCATAGTACAGAAAAATGATGGATGCCAAAGCAGGAAAGGTAGGTTGGATCTATATTTGAAGACTCTTATATGCCAGAGAATCTAAGGAATGCTAAAGAATTTGGATTTTGTCTCTCTGGCAACAGGGAATCTGCCATTTAACAGAGGAGTGTATCTACCATTGCCACACAGCATAATTATAAAATGGAGTTTATTGGAGAAACAGTAAGCACCTGTTAAAGATACATATTGAAGTATTTATGCATGAATTCTAAAATTCTCTCTAACGTACTGCATTAGGTGAAAATGTGTATGTGGGGATTAATGAATCAAGATTGACAAAATGTTGGTACTTATCAAAGCTGAGTGATGTGTTCATGGAGGTTCATTATGTTATTCTGTCTAATTTTGTGTGTATTTGAAATAGGGATAACATTATTACTTCAAAGAATTGTTATAGGAATCAGTGAACTTATATGAAGCTCATAACAAAGTGCTTATTAGCACATGATAACAGTGCAATAAATGTTTGCTTCTGTTGCTATAACAACTACTGCTATGGTAGTATAGGGCTGCAAGTGAGACTTGAGATCACCTTAGAGGACAAAAAAGAGGAACTAGCACAAAGAGACTGAGAAATGGAGGTTATAATTGGCTAAGGAGAAGGAAGTGTGTTTTTTGTTTTTTAGAACATGGTGATTAATGATTTCAAGTACTGTGGAGTAGTGTAGTAGAATGTACTGAGTAGGGGGTATTGTGTTTTACAATTAGAAGGCCATTGGTGATTTTTAAGAGACTCCCTTTATGTGGATCCGGAGAAACTTAACAGAAGACCATGGGGGAGGGGAAGGGAAAAAAAAAAAGAGGTTAGAGAGGGAGGGAGCCAAAACATAAGAGACTCTTAAAAACTGAGAACAAACTGAGGGTTGATGGGGGGTGGGAGATGGGTATTGAGGAGGGCACCTGTTGGGATGAGCACTGGGTGTTGTATGGAAACCAATTTGACAATAAATTTCATATTAAAAATAAAAAGAGAATCCCATTTAATAGGATTGATAGTAGCAGAGAGCCAGAGTCTAGTGAGTAGGTAACGGGTGAAAGGAAGGAAGTAGATGTAGATTCTAGGGAGTATAAGGTTGTTGGTTTGGGGAGTAGAGAAGTCTGATGAACATTTTGCATTTGATTTATGTAAAATTCTGGAAAATGCTGATAATTTATAATGCCTTAAACCAGTTTAGTGGCTGCCTACTAATAATGTTGAAAAGAGGAATGGATTACAGAAAAGATAAGAGAAAACTTTTGGGGATGATGCAAATTTCTTTATTTTAATTGTGTCCATGGTTTCACTGTATATGTACTATATGCCCAAAGCATCAAATTCCACACATGTATGCAGTTTATGGTATATCAGCAGTGTGTCATATATCAGCTATACCTCAATAAAGTTGTTTAAAAAAACCATTAAATGGTTTTTTACATCAGACCCTGAAGATGTGATTTCACATTCACTCTGAGAGTTACCATTTCAGTTTCTCAATTTACTTCTACCTGTGGTGGTTAATTTTGATACAGACTTGGTCAAATATGAAGTAATCCTGAGAACTTATCTGATGTTATTTTTAAATGAAGGGAAACTATAGTTGTCATCAGTAAGAGTTCTAACTGAAAATCTTTTTAAAATGACTTTTATCGTTGTTACTCAGCATTGGAATTTTGTGTTTGTGATCTGGAATTTATCTAACAGCCACATGTTAAGTATACTCCATCAATGGGCCTTAATTATTAGTGTGTTTGTATTGTTGTAGGTGGGGAGAAAGTGGTAGAAGTTGAAAAGAATGAAGGCTAGGTGGTATTTTGTGCAAGGCTTACTTGTGTTTGGAAGTCCTCAAGACCACCCGTAAGTTTGAAGATTTGCTATGAAGACCCACCGGATTCATTATATAGTTGCTCTCAAAAGCTATGAATTACTTTTTGTATTCTATGAGGAATCTGCAAAGGGAAAAAGATGAATGCAGTAAAGTCTGGAGAAATCAGCTACAGGGTTCCAAGAGTCCTTTTCCAGTGGAGTCACACAGGACAAACCTAATTCCCCCAACAACACTGTAACAACACATGTGAAATGCTGCCAACCAGAGAAGCTTGTTTGAGACCTGGTGCCCAGAGTTTTTATTGTCACTGGTGATATAGGCACCTTCTACTTAGTACATAACAAAATTCCGCACTCCCAGAAGGAAAGCACGTATTTAACATAAACCATATTGTTTGTGCCAAATAGTTTAGGCACAGTGAGCAATTCTTACCAGTTAATGGTGAGAACTCTCCACAAATTTAAGTTTAAATATGAGAGTTTCAGTTGGTCCATGTTTCAGCAACAGTTTTCATTTTTAGTCTTTTAAATTTTAGCCATTCTAATGAATGAGCCAGCAGTATCTTGTTCTGATTTTAATTTTTATTTATCTGATGACTCAAGAGGTTAAAAACTTTTTCAAATGTTTATTGACCTGTTGCCTCATTTTTCTGTGTAGTATCTGTTTATGTCTTTCACTTACATTTTACTGGGTCTTTTTTTTTTATAGAGTTATGTGAATTCTTTATTCTGAATACAAGTCCTTGTAAATATTTCTTCTAGTTTGTGGCTTGCCTTTTTCTTTTTTTTTTAAGTTTATTTATTTATTTATTTATTTTTTTTTTTGCAACGTTTTTATTTATTTTCGGGACAGAGAGAGACAGAGCATGAACGGGGGAGGGGCAGAGAGAGAGGGAGACGCAGAATCGGAAACAGGCTCCAGGCCCTGAGCCATCAGCCCAGAGCCTGACGCAGGGCTCGAACTCACGGACCACGAGATCGTGAACTGGCTGAAGTCGGACGCTTCACCGACTGCGCCACCCAGGCGCCCCTAAAGTTTATTTATTTTGAGAGAGAGAAAGCGAGCCCGCAGGGGTGGGGTAGAGAGAGAGAGAGAGAGAAAGGAAGCTGGAACTCTGGAACCATGAGATCATGACCTGAGCTGAAATACTTAACTGTCTGAGCCACCCAGGTGCACCTGGCCTTTTTATTTTCTTAGTGTTGTGTTCTGAAGAGTAGATTTTAATTTTGAGGAAGCTAATTTGTCATTTAAGTTTATTTTTGTTTTGGTAGAGCTAATGTTCTGTCTTTAGTATCTTTGTCTAATTCATTTTCTGACAGTTAGGTTAGTTGTATTTTGTAGGAAATTTGTCAAAAATACTTTTGATTTTTTTGTTATAGTTATTCAAGCTATTTATTATTTTTTAATGTCTGTAAGATATTCAGTGGTAATCCCTCCTTCATTCCAGATTTTAGAAATTCGTGCCCTCTCTTTTTCTTGATCAAATCTACATAGATTTTTGTTGTTTTGTTGATCTTTTGAAAAAAATTAACAACTTTTGACTTCAAACATTTTTTGGTTGATTATTTCAAAGATCACTGCTTTCTATTATCCTAGTCATTTTATTTACTTTCGGATTATTCACTTTTATTTTTAAAAGGTGTTTTTGGAAGTGCCTGGGTGGCTCAGTTGGTTGAGCATGCAACTTCAACTCAGGTCATGATCTTAGGGTTCATTAGTTTGAGCCCTGTGTTGGGCTCTGTGCTGACAGCTCAGAGCCTGGAGCCTGCTTCAGATTCTGTGTCTCCCTCTCTTTCTGCCCCTCTCCTGCTCACACACACATACACAAACACACACACACACACACACACACACACACACACACACACACACACACTGTCTCTCTCTCTCTCAAAAATAAATAAAAATAAAAACATTAAAAAAATAAAAGAATGAAATTTTGCCCTTTGCAATGATGTGGATACAGCAATTATGCTAAGTAAAAATAAGTCAGTCAGAGAAAGACAAATACCATATGATTTCACTCACATGTGGAATTTAAGAAACAAAACAGATGGACACAGATGGGGAAAAACAGTAAGAGAGGCAAACCAGAAAACAGACTCAACTGTAGAGAACAAACTGAAGGTTGCTGGAGGGGAGGGGGGCAGGGGGATTGGTTAAATAGGTGATGGATATTAAGGAGGACACTTGTGATGAGTAGTCGGTGTTGTATGTAAGTGATGAATCACTAAATTCTACATCTGAAACTTATATTACACTGTATGTTAGCTAACTGGAATTTAAATTGAAAAGAAATTTTAAATGTTTTATTTATTTTTGAGAGAGTGCAAGCAGGGAGGGACAGAAAGACAGGGGAGCAGAAGATCAGAAGTGGGCTCTGCGCTGACAACAGCAACCCAATGTGGGGCTCAAACTCACAAACTGTGAGATCGTGACCTGAGCCTACATCAGATGTTCAACCAATTGAGCCACTCAGGCACCCCAATTAACTGGAATTTAAATAAAAACTTACACTGTTTTATATTATCTCACAGTTTTTTTGTTTTTGTTTTTTTTACTGCTGTTTAATTTTTTAGGCTTTCCCTCAACTATGTTCCTTTATTTGCGTGGTTTTAATACTAGGTCTTCAAGTGTGCTGCTCTTTCTTCCACAGTATTTAATCTTCCATTAAATACCTTGAATGAAGTTTTCACTTAGATTTGTTTTTCAGCTCTGTTATTTCCATTTTGTTCCATTTTGTATATTTATTCCACTTTCATTATGTTCATGGTTTCTCTTAAATTTTTGAGGAAACTTTAATAGTTATTTTTAACTTCTTTTCTGCTAGTTACCATTGTATATCATTTTTGGTCTATTTTTATTGATTACTTTTTCTTCTGATTATGGTTTATATTTTCTCATACCTAGTGATTTTTTGTGTTTTCTTTTCCAGAATTTTGAAGTTGTGTTGTTGAATTTATTGATCTGAATTTTGTCATCTTCTTTTAAAGAAAGTTTAATTCTTTTCTTTTTTTAAGTAGGCTCCATGTCCAGTGTGGGGCTTGAACTCATGGACCCTGAGACCAAGAGTTGCATGTTCTACCAACTGAACCAGCTAGGCACCCCAGAAGTTTAATTCATTTTTGCAGGCAATTAATTCACTTGTAATTCAGCTTGATTCTTAAGGTTTGTTGCAGTATGTCTATAATAGCCTTTACTCTTTACATGCAGTCTTACTGGGTCTTTATTGCAAGACCATGTGTTCACGGAGTTCTTTCATTCTGGTGGGTTAGCATTTAAATGTGTACCAATCTTATGTTTTTTCCAGGAATTGTTTAGTTTACAGATGTCCATTAATTGCTCTTTTCCTGGACT